CTGCTTGGTTTTGTGACCCGTCTTAAATTGTGTGAATAATTTGGAAAAATTAAAATCTCCCAGTTTCTAAGCTCAATTTATTGAGGTGAGGGATTTACGTTTACAGAACAAACAGGATAGAAAAGATGTGTATTTATGTTTATTTATCATATTCAATGTAATTGATTGTGTTTAGTTTTTATTTATAGTTATTTATGATCAAGGTTGAACTTTAGAAAGAAATCAAGCTCACGTTTCTTTGTCATCAGTGTTTGAATCATTGTCAGTTTTATAAGATAGATGGATAGAAATTAAACAGAGGATTAAAACGATGGAGACAAAGGCGATGAAGAGTACAGATGAAGAATCGGTCATGTGGAATCTGATCAAATCTGGGATCCATTAAAAGACGAGAGGACAGAGAAGCACTGACGAGCACTTTCCTCTTCTGCTTTGGTGTTGAATCAAAAGTGAACAGACAGAAAAAGTGCAGGTTTTAATGTGTGTTCACAGAAACAGGGGAAGTCCTTTTCATATTTTTTCTGTGTTCGGGGATGCCAACCTCAGAGGAAACCCCTCCTCCGCCTGCCTCCCACGCATCCACCTACACAGTGGAAACTTCTGTCTGAACAAACAAGCGCACACACACTCGTGCACGCACATCACACCCATGACGACTGCTGTCCGGGGGGAGGGGTTCAGATGATGTGACACCTCCTGGCAGCCATATTGGGAGTCAGGTGTTTAAGGGCAACAACAGCATTAGAGTACAACTAAATACTTTTACTGTATGATATGTAGTTTGAGGTTTCTGTATAGTACTTAAGTATTGTCATTGTATTCACCTTGACTGTGATATTTACTAGTTCATCTACAAATTAAGATTTTACCAACAAACCAAATGAAGAAGTTGTAAAATATGATGCGTTTAAACAAAAACACGTGGTCCATTACAAAACAGTGATCAATCATTTGTTATTTTTCTTTGGCTTTTCCTCATCTTCAAGTGAAGTAAACAGGAAACATAAGTACCTTATCAGATTTCTCACTTTCACTATGAACATTACTGAGCACATCTCACTTCACAAACCTTTTTAGCAGCTCTACCTTCTATTTTTCTGACTATTTCTAATCCTTCCTCACATTATGTCACCCACTGCAGCTCTGTGAGGCCAACACAGGTTTGTGATATAACATCTGATGAGAATAACAATGATAAAAACACTTCCCACTGAGAGTTAGATATCACACTCTAGTTTCATATTAATCTAAGACTATAGATTTGATTCAATGAGGATTTAACCAAACTCATATTTCTATTGTTCTATATGCACCTTCTTGAAAAAAGCTATTTGAGGAACTGAAAGCTTTTCCTTATCTTATTGACGCACAAACTGTTGTTGTGTAATGACTCATTTCGTTCTGAAAAATCAGCTGATTCAAAAAACCACAAATACAAAACAATACCAGACTGTAGATCTCAGGGCACTGATAAATCTAAACACCATGCGGAATGGTACAAACACACACACGCACACACACACTGCACATTTGAGGATGCTGTTGCAGCAACGGAACAATGCAGGGCTCCCCGTGTGGGGGCAGAGAACGGGATGTTCTCTATGGTGAACACACACTTCATACACACACACACAACACACACGTGGGTGTAGCAGTAAGTCAAAGGGAAACTGACTTCACACAGTCACTGTCTGCTCCGACAAGAATTAGCTCTTCAGAGTCAATGTGGAGAAAATAAATATTTAAATTAAAAATCTTTATAACTGGGTTTCTGTTGCCACAACTATTAATAAAACAAACTAGTTTTCCTGCACGTTCACTTTCCTGTGTCGACAGTGGGTTTTCTTAGTTCAGCTAAAAGTTTCGGTGTCACTTCTTCAACAGTATCTTGTATGTTATGTATTATTAGTCCAATGGTGAGTTTAGATCAGAAACAATCTGCTCAGCAAACAGTTTTATTTATTCCATCACTTTCTTCTCTCTGTCTTGTTAAGTCCAGTTTTTCTCTCCCAGCGTTGACACTTTCTCGGTCTAGTAGTTTTCCACTGTTTGAAAACTTGATTTGAAAAGTTTTTGAATGTGTGAGATGATCAACAACAGAGCCACTGGAAGCTGCGGTCTACTGCCCCCTAGTGGCTGAAGACACATCACCCTACTCCTTCACAGCAGGTGCAGAATAGAAAAGAATAGAAAAACAGAAAACTGAAGAATCAGAAGGAATATTTTTCATGAATATAATAAGAAATCACACATTTGTTTCGATCTTATTGTTGCTGTTAATTAACTTACTATATTTATATAAAATACCAGAAGCATTACAAAATCCAATTAATTTAATGACTAAATAGCAACCAAAACTTTCTGTGCCTCAGTGTTTAAATTGACCAAACATCCCAGAAACACACGACGTCTACTTGAACAACGTGTTGATTTAAGAGTTTTCCTTTGAATGAAACTTGATAAAACTGTCAAATAAACCCCACAGACACTTATTGCATGAACATGTTTTATTTACATTCAGTGAGTCAAGTGTTGTGATTTGATCAGCGAACACAAAGCTCCTCCAACCAAACGGAGTAAAACTGAGGTTAACGTATATATTTCTTTGACATGTCTTTTTTCACAGGTGCTATTATTTCCCAGGAATCTTTCGTCTGATTCAAAGTACTGCGGTGGCAATTTCTGTGACACACGCACAGAGTCAAACACGTAACCCAACCAGAGATAACATGAGAAACCGTAAAGTTGTGGTTTCTCAAGGCCATAATCCAAAGTCTCTTAATCCATCGTGAACCCTGAAGTTTCTGTTTAACACAAACAATTTGGTCAGTCCTCCACACACACGTCTGCTCATGCAAGTATACATACACAAAAGACACATTTCCAATACAGTACATAAAACAACTCTCTTCAGCATTCATCTCATCAGCACAAAGGGCTGAATACCTGCAGCAGTGCAGACTTTATGTCACCTCTCCAGGTGTAAGGGAAGTCCAACTCCCTTCTGCTCCCTGAAAGCTCCCGTAGTTTTACTGGTTATATTCCAACAGTTTTTTTCCCCAAAAGGTTTGTAAGCAATACTGTCAGGAATATATATTGTTGTGCGTTACAGTCGCAAGTTGTCAAGTGTTGTCAAGCTTTAAAACACAAGTTTACATGATGACGTGTCGGTCTGAGGGTGACGACAGTTCCTCGCTCCGTCCTGATCCACAAACATCAGCATGTTTGCTTCGTCTGATATGTTTTTTGATATGTGTTACTCTGTATGGAGATGTAAGGCACATCACAGCTTGGTAAACGTAAAATTCACCTCAAATCAAAGTAAAATTTAAAATTCAAGTTCAAATTAAATTAATTTTTTCATATCCTAAAGGAAAATTCAATTAATTACAATAGGTAGTGCAATTTCAGGTATGGAAATCATATTTTGTTTTCAAATTGATTCACTGAAAGTTATTTGATGAGAGATAAGTTCATGGTTCAACTCTGCAGCCTTGTGAAAGGTTCCTGTGCACACGTTGCTAACAATGACGTGCTCATGCTTATACTTGTTCATGATACATGCAAATGAATCACATTCTTCTGAAATTAAAAACAATTATCATGATGAATTGATCCACATAATCTTTTGAGTTCATAAAAAAACTCTTTTCAATCAAAAGTTTCAATAAAATTGATGAGTTCGTTCGTCTCCACATTATTGAATCTCTCACTAGAGCCTGTGAGTTTTAATGGCGACATGTTTTCAAACTTTGGCTCGTGTGTCATAAGAAAACCCTTTTTTTTCCACAGGACAGAAAAAATCCACAAAGATTTCAAAAAATTACGCTTTCAAAAGTCAGAACAAACAGCAATTTCAAAACAAAGGGCTGAGGTTGTTCCACTGTGGTTCTTCTGGGAACTGTTCTTACTGAACCTGAGATCTCGGTTCCAATGCCCCAAACGCATCAGCGACCGACGATAGCACCATGACTGTTTTCTTTGTAAACCTACGGTCCAGCAGAGGTGAGGTGCATCATATGATTCCCTGCTGAGCCGCGACAGAAGCACCCTGATTCAGATCTAAATGAGCAACTGAGTTAGACTTGGACCTCCGGCAGCGTCTGACTAACATGGTGGATATTAGGACCACGGAGCTGAACATGAAGCAGGCGCCGCTGAGGAGGAAGGTTGCTGCATAGTCGCCCGTCCTGTCGACCAACCAACCTGCAGACAGACACACAGGAGGGGATGTATGAAAAATAACAGACGAAACAATGAATCATTAAAAAAACTAAGTTTGCAAGTAACAATTTATCTTTCTCAATAAAATCGAAGATGCCCAGGGACAGATTTTGAGAAACGAAAAAAAGTGAAAATGAATTTCAAGATCTCAAAACTACTGTTTCTCAATAATTAAGGTTTGAACTGATTCCCACTAAGATCTTCCAGTACACACACAACACAGCAGCAGTTGTGATACTTCAATGAACTCTTACCTCCTATCGGCGGACTGATCAGGTAAGGGATAGCGTGCAGGAAGTAGACCACACCCAGGCCGGAGGTGAGATAGGTGGAGCCCACAATGTCAGAGGTCACCACTGGGATGAGCGCCACATATGCTCCGTCGAAGTATCCGTAGAGCACGGAAAACGGGACAAGGAGCGAGAAGGAGTGAAGGAGGGGGACGAACATGCAGCAGAGGCCCTCCAGGCCGATCGCCACCATGTAGCTCAGCATGCGATACTTCTTCAGACACCTGGAACGATGGAAATCTGTCAGCATCCTTATCAATATTCATCACAAACACACAAACACAGAACGCACGTACTTCCTGTCCGTGATCCATCCGAAGGTGATGTTCCCCACAATTCCGCTGACTCCAAATATGGACATGAGGAAGGCGGCGTGCTTGTAGTCCACCCCCACACTGAGGGCGTATGGGACCAGGTAAACAACTGGAGCGCTGCAGCCGTACGCCAAAAACAGGAAGGACACCGACAGAATCAGGAAGTCGGGCCTCACAAGGAAACCAAACTCCTCTGTGAACTCGGAGCAAAAACACCGACCTCTGGATGAGGTCCTGACATCTGTCGTGTCAGCTTTACTGCTCAGGATCAAAGATTCCACTAACTTCATGTCCCCGATCGTGCTTCCATTTGCTAACTTGGAATCCGAGCGTTTGATCTCCCCGAGCACTGTCTCCGTTAGCTTGTTGCTGAATAAAATGCATTCAGACACCTTCATATCTGTCGGGCCGGAGAGCAACGATATGTTCCTCTCAGCTAGTTTGTCGTTGTCCAGTCTCGTGTTTTTGAGCGCTCCGTTGGCTATGAGCAGCCCTCGAGTTTCCTTTAAGTTGCTTATTTCCAGCTGCTTTGGCTCCACCTGGCTGCAGTCAGCTGGTACTTGTTCAGTGTCTTTCGTGTCCAGCACTGTTGTCAGGCAGGCTTGCTCTGAGTTAGTCACCTTCTTTGGTTTCCTGCAGATGGACGAGAACAGAAAAGAAGAAAATACACTGAGTTAGATCAAGATAATTGATGTGAATAGTTTTGGGTTATATGCTTTAGACAGAAAGTGTTTCATCTGTACTAAAACAACAACGCAACTATATTTATGACTGTGGTTGTCTTTCTCTGTCCAGCGGAGCAGTTTCAGTCTACAAGCATTTTTTTTAGACTCATACAATCTGTGACCTTTGATCAAACAAAACTTATCAGTAAATTAGTGAGTGACCAACTGAGGCAACTTTGAAAAGATAGTCTCGCTATAAAATATAACGCTCGTGAGCCAAAAAAGGTTTTGCAAACTCACTGTGACTTTGACCGTTGACCCTAGACAACCAAAATCAGTTCATCTTTAAATCCAACTGGACGTTTGCACCAAATTTGAAGATATTCCCTCAAAACGTCCATGAGATATTTAGTTACACAGATACGTACGTCCATACAGACGGAGGGACAACTTCCCTGCTCCTGTCACAGGCACATGAAAACTGAAGTTGTGGTCATATTATTTTCTAAACCAGAGACGTCCTGTAGTCATCAGTTTTAGCTTGCACAGCTTTGCTCTGGGAACTTGTGAAGAGCATGTTAATACATCTGTGACCTCTCAACAATGAATCTAGTTGCAGCTCTAGAATACGCTGACACAAGTCTTATCTAGATCATTCTCCTCCATGCAGCTTTAATTTTTGGGGATTTTAGGACTTTACCTTTCACCTCTTGGCTCCAGCGGCCTCATCAGAGCTCCACAAACACACAGGTTGGAAACAAATCCTCCCAGGATGAGCAGAGCTCCTCTCCAGGAGTAATGCTCTATGAGCAGTTGGACGACAGGAGCCAGGATGAAGGTCCCGATGCCACTACCTGAAGATGAGGTGAAAAGGGATTTGATGGGATGAAACAACAAGAAGAGGAGAAAAGAGGAGAACTGAAGAGGAACTCAATAGGCAGACTAGAGAAAAGTGAAAGAGGATGATGGAGTAGAGGAGATGAGATGGAAAAGTGAAGTATAAATGACGAGAGAAGAAAGCAACAGGTAAGCAAAGATGTCACTACCAGACTGGGCGATGCCATAGGCCAGAGCTTTCCTCTCACTGAAGTAACTCCCAACCATCGCTATGGCTGGTGTGTAGCTGAGAGCAAAGCCAAGACCTGCAGGGGACGAATACAAAGGTTTTCCAGTTTGGCAAAACCTGCCAAATGTTGTCAGACACCAACAAGAAGAATTCTGTCAAATGTGATCCACCGTGAACACGGTGAGGAGGTTTTAAAGGGCAACTCAACACAAAATACACAGTCAGTGGTCTCAATGTCATGATTTATATTAACAGCTTAAGTGTTGACAAAAGGAAACCTTTTAAACTGTAATCGGACATGTTTAAATCTGTTAAACTACGTATGTAAGATGCAATGCATGATTCCTGTGGAGGACTAATGAAGCTACCTACAGCCTCAACCCCTTTCGACCTTGATGACATCACGTCACGAGCGGTCTACACGCCAAATTACTCTCATTTATCACTTTCTTCTCTTACTGTGCATGGCAATACACTTTTTCTATTTTTCACTGTAGGTTTCTCCTGATTAAAATGGATTTACCAAGGACGGATATTGATTAAGTGCCCGGGTGTCATGTGCCCACGTACCTGTGAGGATCCCCAGGGAAGTGTAGAGATATTCCACACTGGAAGCGAAGGAGCTGAGGACGAACCCGGCAGCAGAGAGCAAACCCCCCAGGATCATTGTGGCTCTGCAGGACAGACGGCTCCCAAGGAAACCACCCAGAGGAGCTGCAAGCACACTTTGTGTTCATTACACTATTTATTATTTATATTATTTATTGTCTGCATGTACTGATGTTTTACCACAAAGCATGGTGGTACAGTCAATCAGACTGTGGATCCAGGCGGTGGTGGAATAATCCTGCTCAAAGTGCAGCTGGAACTCCACGAAGAAGATGGAGACACATCTGAATACAGAGAGAGGGAATGTTAGATTTATTCCATTCTAACACAACAGCCTGCAAAAGTGTAGCATTGATAAATAGCAGTTTTACTGTATTGGCTCATCAATGGTGCTGCAGTCTTTTTAATGACATGAAAAATAACTCAAAAACACAGATATAACTTGGGAGCGTTTCTGCAGATTATTAACTTTTGTACCTGATCAGTTAAAGGGCAAGGGCAACAAAGATAGGGTCAGAAAAACACATCTCCACAATCACGGAGCAACAGAGACAATCTGAAGTTTGTATGGATCGGACGTTATACCCCATCGTGTGATGAGAGATGTCACGAAGATATCAGAAAGAAATAGTTTGGTAAGAGTGAGTCAATTAAGACGGCATCACTTTAAAGTTTCTTGTGTCCGAGCGCTCAATATCTAAATCAGCCGTCACTGTTGGTGTAATAACTGTCGGAGGATTTAGATCATATTAGGTCAGTTCCATGTCAGAGTCAATAAAGTGGAGTGAAGTGAAGTGGGTGCAGTGTTCATCAGTTTATGGACGTCAGTCATATCCTACAATCTGAGGGCTCTGTACTCCCTGACCCATGTTTTATGACTCTGATCGTCTGATATGTAAAACCAGAGAGTGCCTCTTCGTCTTATAAAGGCCGCAGGACAGAACTTCAGACAGACATTAACACATCGCATTGATAAGGAACATTAAAATCATAAATTAATTAGGACAATAGCGATTTTACTTTATGATCTGCTATTGACTGAAGATGGATATAAATTGCGCCAACAGACACACAAGTAGAGTCAGCACCAGAATGGTTCATCGAATTACAGCAAATTAGAAGCTGGATGTTTGTTATTGATTTCATCACAAGATTGTTATTATCTCAATTTAATTTTTCCTTCCTCTGGGGTGGCACAGTGGAGCAGTGGTTAGCACTGTTGCCTGACAGGAAGAAGGCTCTGGATTCTAACCTGACTGTGGGTTGTGGGTTTGGTTGTCTCTCTATATGTCGGACCAGTCCAGGGTATAATGTACGAGTCACCCTGCTCTCCCTGCGAACCTCACAGGATAAGTCCTATAGATAATGGATCTGTCGGATGTTTGATGCTGTCTGTCTGTTCCTTGTTCCCCATTGTTCTCTGTGCAGACACCCTGACCATATGAAAGACGCCGCTGTGTGAAGAACACGATCCCTCACCACCTCCCCTTCTGCAAAAATGTTCAGGGCCTGAACCGTATTTCTCTGCGGCGTTGGGTAAAAGTGTTGTCCCTGTGCTATGTGCACACTTGTTTTTAAGTGTCAAGTGTCAGCTGAGTTGTGGGGGGGGGGGGTGATGGGCTGACTGTGCAAGCTAAGAAACATGGAAACATCTCAGCAGGAGTTTTAAAGTCCCAGTGGAAAAAAGACGACATTGATTAGCAGCTTAAAGGTTTGAGCTGAGTGGGGACGGAGTCTTGCCAGGTAATAACACAAAGGTGTTTAAAAAAAAAAAAAACTGAGAACATGAAGCATGAACTCTGTGCAGAGTTAGAGTTTAGTTGTTTAGTAGATTTGTTGAAGGAACAGTCTGTTCTCCATAAAAATGCCACATGTGATAAAAACATGAGGTTCCAGTTGAAAAATTCTCCCAATTATCATGATCAGATACAGACACAGATTCAGTGTTTCTATTACGAGGTCTTCCATAAAACTGCTCGTTCATTTACCTCACCTCAACTCTGAAGCTTAGAAAAAAAACACAAGATATGGAAGAACTGTAAAGCAGAATCACCAAGCTGCTGTTGTATCCTCCGACAACCCGTGCAGATGTTTTCTCGGGATATGAGGTAACAAACCTTGAACTTTAAATCCCCAAAATCTTATCAGGTCTCTGAGCCTAAGAGAGCATTGTGTTCCTGTGACGTTGTGTTAGTCACAGGAACATAAATGTGTTTTTATTGAGGTGTAACCTTTGGTATTTAATAACCAAATTCTAATCAGCTCATCTGTAGGTCCAACTGAAGGTTCTTGAGATATCGTGTTCGCAGGTTTGGGACGGACAGACCGAAAAAAACATCAAGCCTTTGGCCACAGAAGCCTCACTGGATTAAAAACCTGACAACAATCACCTGGTCACTGCCCGAATGCAGATGGTGGCGAGGAAACAACCAGCAACGATCATCCAACCCCAGCCGCCTTCCGGTGCTGTTGTGACCCCAGACACGCTCCTGCCTTCTTTGGGCTTCTTCTCCTTGTTGACTGCCATCGCTCCAGCCAATCACAGGACAGATTGGCATCGGTGTTCTCTCCTTTTAGACACAGGGGGGCGCTGGAGGTCAAAAATCCTCACCTTGATGTTCTCTGTCTGTCTCTAAACGTACAGCATGTTTTCCATTGGCCAGGTTGAAGATCTGCAGACACCTGAAAGAACCATGGTCCTTCCTGTTCCTCCTCTTCCTCCGTCACTGAGGAAACACAGAAATTCAAACATGAATATCAGAGTAATATTGTTACAGCTCATTTCAGTTCCACGCTACAACTGCTTCATGTGTTTTCACAAAACTTGGTGGAACGATGGAACACGGGCCAAGAAAGAACACGTGCAATTTTGCCGTGAATCCCGACAAAATGGTTGAACTTCTTGAACGTTTTCAGTTATTACGTTTTCGATTATAGCAAAAGTTTGTAATCTTAGTTATGAGACAAAAAGACAGTTGTGCTTTAAGCTAAACGCTAATATCAGCATGTTTAAAACCCTAATGCTAACATGTGAATCTTGGTGGTCACCACTTAAGAGGCCATTTTTTTTCAAATCATTCATTCATTCATCCTCAGGGGAACATGAATGTTATTCCGGCATTAGGCTCTCGGCCATATTTGCAAATTTGGAATCTGGTCACTCACACAAACAATGAGCCAGGATGATTTTTAAACTTTATTTGTATGTTATGATGAGTGACAGATATTTCCTGTGAAAAACCAACAAACCACAGTTTCATGGCAGAGACGTTTTCAGTTGTCTCCAAACTTCAGATTGTGTTGAAGGTGAAACAACATTAAAGAGAGAAATTTCGCAGGGTTTAAAATGTTGATAAAGTTTTTTACAGCATCTTTCAGAGTTTCAGCCTCTCTGTGGTATTTTTGCATGTGTCATACTAACACCTCCTAACCAGAGATCCTAAAGTAAACATCTCGTCATGCCTCCTCGTCACACTCTGTTCACACTGAACCAAACAAGCCAGTGAATTACCATCCTCACGTGTGAGCTTAGATGCTGCCATTCGTCAAACAGCGGCAGATTTCTCTCCGGCTCTGTGACTCCTGACAAGAGGTGCAACATTCCTGCCTTGAACTGTGGAAGTGGAAATGAAAAGCTTGTCCCCAAACCCTCAACAGTTTAAAATCTAACTCAGCTTCGGTACAAGCTCTTGGGTGAATACTGCCTATGCAGAGCAGCAGCCAGATGTTAATCTTGTGGTTAACCAGACTTCTTCTTCTGTAGCGTCTGAAAGGAAAAAACAACTGTGATCATACCCCAGATCAGATTTCAGCTCCATGTTCCCAGGAGGCTGAACTGATCGATCCTGGTTGTTTGCATTTGTAAATCAGACCCTGAGGGAAATGCCCCCCCCCGATCCATTCCTTTAATGAGTTGCTAACACCTGTTGGTACGAACCAGCAGCAGTGAAGCAGCGTGTATTTCCATTTGAAAAGGCCTTCACATCACCTGGACTGTTTTTCGTCATTCAAGCTACTTTGTCTGTTTGAGAAAACATTGTGTGTGTGTGTGTGTGTGTGTGTGTGTGTGCGTGTGTCTGTTGATAAGAAGGTTGAAAAGGGCAGAGACCTTAGTTACAAGAAAGCCAATGCTGAATAATGAAACGAAACAATAAAAGGAACAAAGACGAAACAGATTTTAAAACTAAAACCTTAAATAAACACAGAGAACCGTCATATCTGTTCTGCAGAAACTGCAACTGTGCAACGTCCAAAGGTTTGTGCAGCCGGTTCTGCTTCGTCATCTGCTCCATCAAAAGGTTATCTCACCAAACTAACAGGCTGTAAAGTTTGCATTTGTGCACAAGCCTAACTGAGAATGTCCCTCCTGCTGCAAAGTAAACTGGCACCAAGCCATGAAAACGGCCCAGTTTACGTAGACTGACCGAAAAATCCCAGTTTAAAACGTGCGGTCGAGAACTGAGGCTACGTGGAAAAAAAATTATTTAACTTATAAATTACAGTATAATTTAATTACTTGACAAATTTAAATACTTTCAAAAATGTGGGCACAGTGGAATAAAACAAAAGTGGAGGAAAGGATGAATAAATATTTTTGGGGTAATAACAGAAACAAAAGAAAGTTTTGGAAAAATCGTGAAGATCGTAAATAACTTCTGAACCTGTTAAACAATTATGGTGTAAGGATTTATAACATGATCCCCAGACTGATGACGAAAGAAACCTGGAACAATAAAACTTGGAAGGACATGAAGGACAGTGATGTACTTTACATTCAAACCCAAGTTTTCCGAACAGACTTACAGTGTTTTACAAGTTTGTTCCATCTGCATCGATGTAAACTTTACTGTTCATTTATGAACCATTAAGAACCTGAAACTATTTTGATTTGTGCTATTCAAACAATAAAATGAAACTAAAAGTGTTAAAGCTAATTCAAAAGGTGATGATAATTTGCATTTATTTAGAATGGGTGTAAATGAGAACAGTGAATGTAAAAGATTGAAAACCTGAATCAGATTCTTGAAGCTGTTGCTGCACATTTTTACTGGATTTGTGATCTAACTTTAGAAAAAACTGAATATTCTCCTCAGTAAAGAATTTACAATGAATCTCCTCTGCAGACACATTCCATTTTTATATCTTTTTTTTAACAATTCATTGTAATTCACATGTTTCGTTGCGTTTTTTCCTGCAGTTACTGTTCATTGGGTAAAAAGGAAATTCACAATAGATATCCAGAAAGAAACAAAGTGAGGAGAAGAGTTGAGAGTCTGCAAATGACGAACAAAGATTTAAAAAACACACAAAAACAAGTGTCGACTCACATCAGACTGTGCTTCCTCCTCCAGTGTCACCGCTTCATGGCTCCGGTGTCCGGACGGCAGCAGCTCGAGCGATCAGAAGAACGATCGCGTCAGAACCGAGCGGGGGAAACAGGGAGTGTTCCAGCTGTTGCGTGTGAGCCGCTGTGCCCAGAAACATCTGCAGCTGCGGCTTAAGATACGAGGCGGGCCGTGACGTCACACAGCAACACCCAGGCGGTGTTCCCAAACACACGCTCGCTTGCGTAAAACACACAACACACTCCACGCGTAAAAATGCGCAGAGGCTTCCCCGTGCGTAACTCTGTGCCCGCGCCTCCATTTCACAACTTCGACACCTCAACGATTTGTGCATGAACTATCTCAACTTGTCCTGCGCGCCAGGGGCCCTCCGGTAGGTGGCGCTAATGGTGCAGATTACGGGTTTTTTATTAAAAAAAAAAAACAAAACATGTTTTCAGATGATTTGTGATTCACTTGCAGACTCAGTGTGGTTTTTAAATACAAAACCACATGAACAAAACAATGCACAGAAACCAAACACTGCAGCCATTTACTACACAACAGATACATGGATGCTGATATTACTTTTACTTAATGTAAAATGTTCAGTGCTAGAACTTCCCTTGTACCATTATAGTGGTATTAAATATTAATGCTCTATATTCTACAGTGTATTAAAGTGCAGAGAGGAATCTATAGGACTGACAGAAAAGTGAGGTTATATTCATTTACATTCTGAGTCGATCTCTTGAGTTTAATATTAACCCCTCACAATATCCATTTATCAATTCGTGCCCAACCTTCATAATCTTCACCTGCTGCTCAATTTGATTGTTGTCGAAACAAAAATAGAGAAAATACAAACTATCGACAACTTGAGTCACTTAAATCCAAGAACACAACCAGTACCAGGCCCCTGAGTGTTGGGCTCTTGGATGTGCTGCCTCCAGGCCAAAGCTTAACGCTCTCTCCAAAGTTCTTTTTGACTATTAATAATGAATTAGCATCATGAATTATTAAACAGGGCATATCAACATCTACATCTGATTTATCAACATTAAACCCAGTGAGGAGTGGAACCTGCTGTAATCCAACAGATGACAGGGTAGAAATTGAAGGAGTGACTTACCTCGTGCCATAACAACATGTTGAACTAAGATAATAACAAACCTTCACTATCATTTGATTTATATATTTGATTTAATTTAATGTTGAGGCCGACTGTCTCATTCTGACAATAAAAACAATGAATTGTGGGTAAGAAAACATACTCGCGTGCCTCTCTTAGCAGCAGCCTTCAGACCATTTGGGTGATGTCACTTCCTCAATTGTCAATGGACTCATCCACTATTGTTTCAGAGGGGTGAATGTGAATGTTGCACTTTCATAGATAATTCATGCAGCGATTCCTTTAATATAAAAACCAAAACATTTGGTTATATTTGCAGAAAACAGCAATAATTTTAATTATAACACATTTGAGTAATTAATTTAAATTCAGTAGTCTGACTCGTGTCTATCATTACGTCTTTTTTTGCTTGACTCCTTCATTTCTCTCTTTCCTGTCAGCCTCATCCTTTTATTCTTTCCACACACTGCAAAGTAAAGAAACACCCAGACCACGTCATCTCATCCAGTTTTAGTTTAATTCCTTTTTAGAAAAAAAAAAAAATCTCTTCACTTCAGTACATACACATTGCACAAGGCAGGGAGCCTTTTTTTTTTTTTTTAACCCTTTTTCTTTTCTTTTTCAAACCAGAGTTAAAAGCAGCAGCAGAACTGACGCTAACAACCAGCACTGGGCTTCCCCAAGACGTTTGCACCCAGATCCAGATCACAGAGAGGCCGAGGTGAAGAACCGGCATCGAAACCCAGCAGACAGAGAACAGGCATCAGGACCGTGAGGTTCTCACGTCAAACATAAAAACACAATTGTGGAGGAAATGTCTAATTAACGAACATTCCTCCTTAAAAAGACTTTTAGTTAAATTCTCAACCACCGTTTAGACTTTCTGATGCGTTTAAATTATATATTAAAGTGACAACAAATGTAAAGTATTCCTATCGGACAGTTGATCAGACGGTCCGCGTAACTTTAGACGAGCACAGAAACATGTCGAAATAAATCTAATCCTAAAGATGAAAGATCCCATCGACCATCGACCACGAGAAGTTTAACACGCATCTCTTCACGTGTTTTCTAAAAACCAATCACTGCAGCTCTGGTGAAGTTATTGATAAATGTGATGAAGCTGCAGAGAGAAGTTGGTTTGTCTCGATGCGTCGAATTCTGTCTGCTCTGATGTTTGATTTTTTTTCAGCGCCTGGCCCTGAACCGTTGAAACAACTTCATCAACAGACAGATTGCTGGTGTAGAATATATCATATTAATATTTACAAAAAAATTCTCTGTACAATAGTAATACACAAGGGTGAAACAGGTTTGTCCCGCCAGTTATTAAGCATTCCAGAGGAGAGATTAAAGAGTGGATGCGTTCATGCAACAGGATGTTCGACCTCCGGAAAAGGTTTTAGCTAAGAGCTGTGAAAATATATTAGACGAGGAAAAGGTCACAAGGAACATTGTGACTGGTGTGTGACACGAGGTTTGACAACAACAATGTGTTTACTTTTCTGTATCTACCCTGAAGTAATACTACGAGAAGATAAACACCAGAATATATGAAGTACCACTTTAACACATAAAAAAACAAAACATGTGACAGCTTGGAAATGGCGGGGGGTCATTGTGTTCACCATGACAGAAACTGTCAGTGTCGCAGCGCTCACACTGAGTCGACCGCACCCTGTTGCAAACATCCACCTTAATTAGAGTTAACGACTAAATCAGCAGGACAAAGACTCTCCGTCAAGACTCAGGAGCAAACTAACAGGTTGCATATGATTTTAAGAACACGTTAACAAACAGGTCAGATTAACTGTGATGGTTCAGAGTTTGTTGACGGGGACACGTGTGTTGCTGCATAGCATTTTAAGTTAGATCCCACTATGGATGACATAAAGTTTGTTATTCAGCGGATACTTCAAACCAGATATATTCACACTGATCTGGGACGTGAACCCCAGACAACAGGTCACAGAGGTTCAAACCCTAAACCTCACACTGAGTTTAAAGCAAACAAACATCCTCACCGTTGATAACAGGAAAACAATCATTGCCTAAAAGGTGATGACTGACTTCAGACTTGATCTGTGCTGTTGAGAATGTTTCAAACACTTTGGAAGTGTGATACTGCTTCGACTGAACATTAACACAGTTTGAGTAAAGAGGTTTTCAGTTCTAGGAGCGAGCGTTCGGGGCCAGTTAAAGGGAAAAAGGTCTTAATAGAGTTGAGAAATTATGAGAATAAAGTTGTAATTTGACAAGAATAAATTTAAGAGGGGAAAATACCAGAAGCTTCTCAGATAATACAGTTCTTTATCTTACATCGGCGCCACATGATCATGAGCATCATGACTTCATTCTGTAGAAAGACAAACAGACTTTGAAGAAATTCCCTCTTTGTTCGGACTTTGATCTACGTGATATTAGTATTTTAGGCTTATTTCTCTCCCCAAAAAAATTGCATTTTTCTTTATTCTCGTAACATTATGATTTTATTCTTCAATAGGCCCGAACGCTCGTCGTAAAAAAAAAAAAACCTCATCAGTTTGTTTTATGCAGATTAAAACACAGAAGCTGCAGCGATGGATTAGAACAACAGTTACTGTAGGTCCAAGAATATTAAAGTATTTGAAGCAATGATATTAGTGTTTCAGATAAGTTGAAAATTAATGTTATAACTTGTAATTACACCACCACTAAACACAGGCAAACTTTAAAAAGAACTTTAAAACACAGGTCATCAATATTCTGCAGACTTTATCATAATTCAATGTTTCCTGTTTGTCTTCCTTCATCTATTTCCAATAACAGATTGCACTGACCTCAGGTCGGAGCTAAGTAATGAACAGCACAGTGTAACATGTTGAAACCACCTGTTTTGAAAGATTCTGCAGGACAGTGATAATAAGTGTTTCTAAAGGTACCACTTCTATAAGTGCTGCACATCACAGCATGTTCCCGCAGCCTGAACGAGCAGGGACTTTCACGTCTGACAACAAACACACTGGTTCTTTTTGTGCCAACCCAGAAAACAAAATAAATTCACCACAACAGTATTTTCAAATCACATGAAAAGTACATCATTCACTCACATTACTTGTTACAAGCAGGATAAAAAATAATAAAAGGACATTTATTGAAAAAAAAAAAAATTTGTTCCCAAACCAAACTGTTGCCAAAAACATTGAAAAGAAAAGTTGGAAAACAAGTTAAGTTTGAGTTCTCGTTAGCAGTGATCTGCTTTATCTCAGATTTGAGAGGATAATCTTTCTTTCTACTTCGACATGTTGAAGCAAGACAACCGTGAACTTTCTGTTACAGTGTTATGGCAAAACAAATGAGTAACAACAGAAAGACAGAAAGCAAAGACTGAAACCTGAACATAAAAAAAAAAAACAGCAAAAACACATTGAGGTAAAGTTGAGAAATGAAACCACACAGGAAGCTGAAGGGCACGAACGTGAGGTTAAAACACACGGTGGAGGCAACAGATTAAAAGAGGAAGTGGCACGCGAGATAACCGACAGCAGCCCGGTTTAAAAGCTGAGCAGCGCCTGACTGGTCGAGGCCACAAATACATCATCCACACATGAGCTGGACAAAAGGCAAAGTCTGAGGAGAAGAGAAACAGATGAGAAAACACCTGAACAGATTGTTTGCATCATGATGGAACACACGGATGATTAAATACTTCAATAGTAGTAAACCTCAGATTGACCTGCATGAGCGCTGACGTTTAAAAATAAGCTAAGAGACTTAATGTATCCACAGAGGAAGAAGGGAGCTCCAGTGGATATGAACTACGGAGGACGCTCAATGTTAAATGTGATTATTTTATCACCCAACTCACTTTGATCTGTTCATTCCAAAGGAAAAATAAATCCTCCCACTTTTTAAAAAAGTTCCATGTTGTGCTCTGGATAAAAACAACACTCAGAGTGCCTGCGTAACGCTCAGCCTGCTAATCAGGATTTCGTCTTCATTATTCCAGTGCTGGGCTAACACGCGAGGTACTGGACAATGGATGGTTTTAACGAGCAGAGGTCGATTCCCAACAGGGGAAGAGTTTCTCTGCGTGGAAAGTAAAGGCATGCCACAGAGGTAATAAATAAACAGGGTCCAGTTCTTTACAGTTAATGATAAACAGAGATGAGAAGCTGTTGTCGAGGCTCAGGATGAGATTTTTTTTAAACTGTCAGTGTCTCAAAAGCTCACGGATGATGCAGCAGCATGTTCACAGCCGTCACTGCGACGCAGAGCAAACATTCACTTTAGCGGGAGGTGCGCATGTAATTAAAAATTTCCACTTCACTTAGTTTTTGAAGATCAGTAAAGATCAATCGTCTTCTGTAAATATAGGATTAAAGGCTTTTCCACAGTTTTATTAAATGTCATCTACCCAGCAGCAAGATGACGACAATCCGCAAATTTGCACGATTAGACATTAACAGAAGTTGAGCGGATCACGTTGCTGCTAAATTTGCATATGTGTATTTTACAGGAGGGGCGACAGGCCTGAAAGCATCCTGGTCCCTTTTGTCTCCCAGAAGGTGACGGCATTCTTCTGCATATGCGTCAAGGGCTTTTTATAAACGCCAGGTTTCACATAGAGCGTTAGCATCACACTGGCTCAGCCTGAGCGCCTCGTTGCATTACAATGTTACATCCAAACAAGGCAGCAGGGCGGCAGAGAAGCTAGAGGACAAGGAATCAGGCCAACGACCTGCTGAAGTGTTCTCCAGCTCAACACTGACGGGAGGTAAAGAGGAAAAGAAAAGATGATTCCCAGCAGAGATAAATAAAATCCCACAGTATCCCAAACACAAACAGTGGTCACTGAGGCAGACCAGCGATACCACAAGCACTAACTATTGGAAGACAATGTCTTGGTCCCGCTGTGTAACACTAAACTCAGCAGGTGAGGCGTAGTATGCGGACGTGGCACAGCGGTGCTGTTAATGATGTTTGCATGTGCTGTAGGTAGATGGAGGAGAGACGAACAAAAAAACTAAAAGGCCATCTGTAGTGGAACAACACAGAGAGAATTAAAGACTGTTGATCTGCTTCTGTTCTGAGCTGCAGGAGGCAGGCGTTGAAAGAATCTCAATAGGATTTGGCTTCAGTGCACTTCCCTAAAAGACTGAAGTGTCCCGGGCCACTTTTTGTGCAACAACAAAATGCCTCCCGAGCCTCAGCTACTGCCACGATGTTTGAAACGTTTGGCTATTTCTGTCCGTCTGTGCGCTGGCAGATGACGGCCGGAGGCGTTGGTGGTGACGGGATGTTTCTGAGAGTCCCTGGGGGTTAAAAATGCCCAGTCACTCATTAAAGAGTAACTTCATTTCTGTGCTGACACAGGATCTTGTTGCACAAATAGTCGGCTGGGACACCACAGCCTCCAAGACATAATGCTACAGTAGGTATTCTCACACTCACACTGACACACACTCACTCACACACACACACACAGTAACAAAGATCACTAAACTCTCTGTGTCTCTGTGTTTCCAGACGGGAATCGACAGAGCAGCAGAAATGACAGGAAACCATAAATTAAAGATTACAATATTAAAACCTCTATGATAGGGCGACTCTATTTGGGGAATTCAGAAGATACATGTTAGAGGTTATCGCTATTTACAAATGTTAAATTATTAAAATGGCTTTTCTCAGTTTCTGTGTCCCTCGATTAGTGTTCCTTTAGTGGCCTCTGTGAACGGGACCTTTTCAGCAGCGTTAAAAGTGGACGACGTCACATCATCCAGAGGTGGAGAGGATCTTCTTGTCGAGGGTTGATGATGTCACGCGGTGTCCTTCACGGCTCCTCTGTTGTCTTGAGCAGCTCCATCAGTGCTCCCACGGCCCCGAAATAACCCTGGAGCAGAAAGAAACGCGACAATGGCAATGACGCGACGCTGTCGGAGGTTTCTGAGGGTGAATATTAAAACGTATTTGTCAAGTGCTAACCTCGTGTTCCAGGAAGAGGGCTCGTAGTTGTCCTTTGGACCAGAAGTCCATGGCGTAGGCCAGCAGCTTTGTGGAAACGGTGTTGATGCGAAGGAAGTTCCCGACGAACACAACACGCTCGATTTTCTAAAAAGAAGACAGACGTGAAGAAATTCAGAAGAACTGATCATTAACACACATGCTTTGATGGGCTCGGGGTTAAGATGACAATCATTACCCACAATCTTCTTCATTCCTGACAACTCAGAACTGTTTTGTCGATCAATGGAATGTTGTAAGTCAGAAAACTCTGGAGTTACAGTTTGACAGCTTCACTTTTCCTGTTTTGTCCAAAAGGATCCCTCGTTTAGCCGAGTAACATTTACGAAGTCTCAGATAGAAGCAGAGAATAGAGAGCACGTTTTGAGAAATGATGGAGATAATTTTTTTGAGAAATTACATTAATGACACAATGACACTCCTCTTCCAGACCACACGGTGGTGCCAGAGAGCCGGCAAACTGGCTCCGACCCACAAACAAACCAGCTGATTTCTGCATCCTGATAAACTGAGACGCTTTAAAAATGAAGTGATGCAACATTATAAATAAAACTGCTAAATGCAGCTGAATATATAATTTACTTCCATGAATTTCAGGATATAATCTAACATTATATAATACCACAAGCGCGACAATGGAAGGTTTACAAGTGGAATTTAAAATCTTTAACTGAACTTGAAAACAGAAGATAATGTTAGTTTAATATTTGCTCTGCAAAATAACAAGATGCAACCACAGAGGTTTGTGTATTTTGGGAACTGTGAATAGACCAATATTAAAAAATATTTGAAAGTCTAAATAAAATAATCTTCTTCTGTTAAGAAGATGAAAGACTCGAAGGAAGCGTCCTTTTATTGATTTGTTCAACTGCTCACATGATGTTTCTTTTGTTAAAAGGTTGAATATATATATTTTTTTTTAAAAGAGCCGGTACAATCAGACAATCAGAGTTTAATTAAAGTGTCTAAATTTTAAACCTGGATCTATTTAAAGGCGACAGTTTCTTACATTAACAGTTAATATTCAGGACAAACTGATTTTATAGTTGTTCCATAAAGGAAAAATGAAGTTGGTGGAAGTGTGTGTGTGTGTGTGTGTGTGTGTGTCTGTGTGTGTGTGTGTCCTCGCTGCACGTCTGTGTGCAGTGATAGCCCTGTACAATGCTGCTTGATCACCATGCCACAAGGCAACACTGTAAAGAAGCTCAAAGCACACAGAAAGACTCCAGGCTCATCACTCGTCTGAGTTAGACACTGAAAAAACTTCATATCCAGCACAGCTAACACATGTGTAATGTTCAATCCTGTGTGTGTTTGTGTGTGTGTGTGTGTGTACCTCATTGACAGCACACATCCGTGCTATGGATCCTATATTATTAGTGATGGTGACCAGTGTGGCTCTGGCCAAGTCTTCCTTAGAAATGCTGTCTCGCTTGTCTTTGCTCATCATGTGACCAAAACTGTAAAACAAACATTTCACATGTAAACAAACAAATAAACACACACTTAAACACACACTAATACACACAGGCAAACACACACACACACACAGACAAACACACACACAACTACGCACACTGACACAGTTTCTACCTGGAATTAACAGCAGACACAGAAAGTGACCTCTGTAGATGTCACAGTGACCTTCAACAGTGACAACACAGTGTTGTTTGGGAGTGTGTGTGTGTGTGTATGTGTGTGTGTGTGTGTGTGTGTGTGTGTGTGTGTGTGTGTGTGTGTGTGTGTGTGTCTGTTAATAACAAAATAAAAAACCACAAAGATAAATACTGATTAGAATCTGATGACTGTGATAAAACCGTTTTTTCTCACTTTGGTTTACGGCCTTTGGACACAGAGTTTACTGTACACATGCTCAACCCAGATTAGCAAGTAAAGGCCCGAGTTAGCATGTGTAGCTTATGCTGCTATTACCTCTCAGATATTATTTCAAAGTGTGTGTATCTATCTTAGACACATGCCTTGAAAAAAAGGCCCTCATTAAGAGCACATACCTAAAAGACAGGAGTCAAGGGTTTGGCACAGGAGGAAGAACCAGTATTAAGTTCTGGAAAAGTTCCACAGAATGTCAAGAGAAACTGACTCTGACATTTGCGTTCTCACAAACACACCGTAAGTGCATATCTGAAAACACAGAAATTGGAAGAATTTAACTTCCCTCAGACGACGAACCCCGATGGTCAGACTCACCTGGATGCGACAGCAGAGCCCTGCAGGCCAAAGCGCTCATAGTCTCCTCCGTAGATGTCTTTCACCAGCTTGTCCACGTTGGTGGAGTCGCCCTTGCTGGCCATTTCCAACGCCTCCTCGAACGTCTCGCATCCCGTCAGCAGACAGCAAAGACCCAGGAATGTACCACCTCCCAGACTGAAAGACAAAATGAAGCCAGGTAAGGTTATATGAGCAAGACAAAAGGAAAACAATTTAAAAAGTTGAGGAGAGAGAACAAGAAAAGAAAGAAGAAGAGTTTTTCCTCCTGACTTTCAGAATAATTCAACCCTTCAGATTTGAGCTCGGTGACACCCACAGGAATTTCTCAAGGTTTGTGTAGTTTGTTTTGTTGCATTCTTGATGAAATGAGATAAAAGTGTCTCCCCATGTCTTTAATGTCAGTTTGAAAAATGTTCACTGTCAGAGAAAAGCTATTGTGACCACTTCAGGAGCCTGAAAGAATTTGTCAGTTTGCGAATGATAGACGAGATATACTTTGTCTTTTTCCTGGGGCAGAGTGACAGAAAAACACACAGACAGACACACAAACACGTTATGTCACGGTTGAGCAGCCACAGACTTTATCCATAGGTCATGTCTGAAAGCGGATAATGAGACAAAGTTGTCCTTCAGAACAAGGAAGTAACGACTGACAGATGTTGCAGTGAACGCTCACTTTCGATTTTCCATATAAATACAACAGCCTGTGGTTTTTTGATGCAACTTAGGTTTTAAAAAAATAACACAACAACAAATTAAAATGACAACAAAAACATTGGGACCTGTAACACAATATTCTATCAGTGCAACAATGATGGTCGTCTTTCCCGTCTTTCAGATGTGTTTGGGTTCATTATCATATTATCCTGTTTGAGGAGCTTGTGAGACAAAGACTCCTCTGTTTCATTCTGCGTTCAATTATCTTTCAGCCACGTCCAAGAAAGTTTAACTTCCTGTCAGCAGCGGCAGATATGTTCCCCCTGTGTTGCACAACGATACCAAACACATCCTTGTATTAAATCATCATCACTCAACAGGCTGAATGACTTCTTATAAGACATGTGTTACTAATAAAGAACAACTGCCTGCTTGAATAGTCACTACAGTCAACTTAGCCATGACCACTTCTAAAGGGCACCGATCATCTTCTCTCTCCTCTGTCCTCCCTTACCACCCTCCTCCTCTCTCTCCCACACTTCTCTCATCTCACCCCAACAGCTCGAGGAAAGTGTTTGCTCATTGTGGGAACTGTTGGGCTTTGGTTTAATATTGTACTTTAAATAAATGTTTTTCAGTGAGATCTTTTTCTCTGCGCCGAGCAAAGTGCAAGGAGACTATCACGTCTAGTTGACACGAAGAATCCAGCCAGGCACGGAATGCACAGTAAATAAATACGTTTTATTTTATTTTATTTGGTCCTGGACATTTCAGAAGATCTTTGTCGATGAAGCAAACATTCTTAATGTTGCTCACGTTTTCCTCCTCCAGGAAGAACGGGACACAATGTTCACTATCTTATCACAGTCTAACTCCTCCGTTACATAAAGAAGGTACACGGTGTGATAGCAGATATACGGTGATTGGAATTCAAACAGCTGATACCTGGCACATCTAGTGAAGCTATAAAACATTTAACCTCTGACCTTCACCTTGTGTACATTTTCTCATGCAATACAAAACAATGATAATCGATTCATGTTTTAAGGTGGCTGAGTTTGAAACTATTTGCATCCACTCTCTGTGAATAAATATTTAAAATAAGCTCAACTGGAAATCACATATTAATAATTTTATTGTACACTATTCTTATATTTAGCCTTAGATAAGTTATATATCTGCAAATATATAAACACCCACACACACTCTAAACTGCTAAATTAAGGATTTAACTGCAGAAAAGATTTCTTAAAATTGTGTTTTTGTCAGATAAAGGGAAAACACAGAATCTCCTTTTTCAAAATCTGCCATCTCCGTGTTTCTCACATTAATAAACGTCTGGCTGTTCAGTTTATCTGACGTCGTCTGTCTTTGTCTTCAGTGGTTATGTCTTTATATGTGGCGTCATTCATAACTCAGAAACCAGTAAAGTCATTAGCTTCAGTTCACATTTTCAAAACCTACGAATGCTGGTTTGAGGATTTGTAATAAGAATCTGACACTTGGTATTCAGTTCCCAGGAATTTTGTAACTCACGCCCACAATTCAGCATTTTACGCTGTTTTAGAATAACAGGTTGGGTTATTGTTGATTAGTGCCGAGTGTAGATGTCTTGAAATATGATTCTGTGAAACGTTATCTGATACTAATCCACGGGAGTCACACGATGAGCCCCTGGCGTTTTGGCTCTTGTGATTGTATGACCATTACCAGCGTGTTCTCACTTTCACACATCATTTTGTAACTGACTTTTTAAATTATATCCTCTTTTTCATATTGTGCAATAAAACAAACACCAACAGACCTGAGGCTTTGCTCATTTCATCCCAGATCTGTGCAGCTTGAGTCAACAAACACTACAAACATCTGTGTGTGTGTGTCTGTCCTCCTCACCTGGTCCCAGTCACCCGTTTGTAGTCGTTCGCCGAGTACACGGCCAGTATGGAGACCCCGGAGCCGATGTTGACCAGCAGCATGGGGAAGGGGTTATCCAGGGTGCAGGTTTTCTTCACGCAGCTCTGGGTGTCTGACGGGTTCTGGAAGTAGTAGCCCTCCGGGTGTCCGTTGAAGCCCACTCGGTCGACGTACAGCAATCCACGAATCAGGCAGTCCAGCTCGTCCAGCTTCAGCAGCTCCAGGTCGGCCATCTGCACCACAAAGGGAGGACAATTAAAATATATGAATAAACATTAAAATAACACACCAAGAGGACACTGAAAAAAACGGAATAAAACTAAAAGTTTGTCACATTAAATGGAAGCATCAATAAATCTAAGAAGCTAAAATGATTTTCAAGGTAAGACATGAGTGTGCACAGCTTCAGTTCGAGCTGCAGATCCCAGAGACAGTTCAGTGATCTTCCTGCTCTGCAGACAGGGTCAATGAACTCATGTAAACACTCGCTGCAGCAGAGGCCCTGTTCACACCTGGTGGAACTCCCATCTCAGGTGATCCGGTCACAAGTGGACAGCTCCGAGTTCATATCTGCCACACACTTACCGTTCTGAAGTCGTTCTCAAACTTGTAGGCCCCGCCTCCGGTGGCGCAGAGTGTCGTATGCAGGCTGGAGAAGTTCTTGTCGTGTCCCATCTGGATAAAACGGGGCATGGCCTGTGTCGGGAAGCGAATGAAGTGCAGGTTCCCCGTCCTGCCGCACATGGTCAGGTTCCTCAACTCCAGGTGGACGTCACGGACCCCTGTTTTACCTGAGCGAGGTATATTTACAATATAGGATTCTCTCTCCACTTCTCTTTTGTTTATTCTCACAAAAACGTCCAACATCTCCCATTCAACCGTCAATAAATCACATATTTTACTTTTAATTAAGAAAAATAATT